CATGGTTGATTTTGAAAAAGTTAGGTTGTTATTTATAAGTAAGATATAAAAATAATATTTAAAATAAAATAATTAAAGTTGATTTGATGTAAAAGTAGAAGAGAAATGATGTGAAATGATGGTTAGTTAAAATTATGTAAGTAAATGAATAGTAAATTAAATTTGATGTGATGTATAATAAATATTGATTGATATTATTTAATTATATTGATAATATTGAAGTTAGTGAGATTGCGTTAAAGTTGAGTTAACTATGAGTATACATTGAATTTGAGTATAATTTTTTTTTATAACAAACACTTTCCAATTTTCTCAAAAAAATCCAATCATTTTTAACCAGATTGTTCACTGGCCAGGCAGTTAATCTCCATAAATCAACTATTTTTTTAAGTAGGAATACTTCTACTTACATTCAACAGAGAATTTTCCCAGCCATGCAGGGTATTCAATCTCATAGATTAAGTAGATATTTGGGATTACCCCTTGGCATTGGCAGGTCTAAGAAAAAGGTTTATGATTATTTGCTGGAATCCATTCAAAGGAAATTGCAAGGCTGGAAGTCCAAGCTTCTGTCTTCTGCATGAAAAGAAGTATTATTAAAGGCAGTGATACAAGCTCTCCCAGTTTTTATCATGTCTTGCTTCAAGCTCCCACACTCCATTTGCAAAGAAATATCCAGACTTTGTGCTCAGTTCTGGTGGAACAGAAGACAGCTTTAACAGCATCCACTGGAAGAGTTGGACCAAAATGTCTATGCCCAAATTGAATGGAGGTATTGGTTTCCAGGATATCAAGCTTTTCAATGTGGCTTTAATTTGCAAGCAACTATGGAGAATATCAACACAGCATGAATTGCTTGTTAGCCAAATCTTGAAGGACAAATATTATCCCAATACTTCCATAATTTAGGTTGTCAAATCTCATAAAGACTCATGGCTCTAGAAATGCTGACTGGAAGTCCTCCCTATTTTCTCTAAGTGGCTGAAAATTGAAATTAGAAGTGGAGCTCAGACTAGAATTGAGGATGACAATTGGATCCCAAATCTACCTAAACCAAGGCCTGAAGTGATTGATATTGCTAGAGGTCACCTCATTTTTGTTAAGGATATAATCCTTGCTGATGGAACAGGCTGGAATCAGTGGTTGGTAAAGCAGGCATTTCTGAAAATGACAGCAAGGCCATTCTAGCCATCAAATCTTTGAAGCCTAATGCTAGTGATAGATTGTACTAGGGCCTTGACAGAAAAGGGGAGTTTTCAGTTTCTAGTACCTATCATCGTCTTGCTCTGCAGCAAGTCCACTCCATGGATCAACCTGAGAGTAGCTCATGAAAAACACGCTCAACAGGAGCTGGTCACTGAAAATCCTTGGAAAGATCAAGCTATTCATATGGAAATGTCTTAATGGTGCACTTCCTGTCTTGGTCAAATACGGTGATTGTTAAAAAGGCCATGATAGATGGCGTATGTGCATTGCCTTCATAGACCTAAATGTGGTATATCCTAAGGATCGCTACCCATTACCGCGTATTGACCAGCTTGTGGACTCGACTGCGGAGTGCAAACTACTGAGCATGTT